AATTTTATTTCTATTTAATTATTTTGCCCACTGTAAATTACGTAATTAATACATTCATCTTCTCCTTTACCCTTCCAATTGCTCGATTAAATTATGCTCTGTAAAAATATAATTACAAACGTATGGTGATCAGATTTTCTCTAACCACTTCAGATGAAACACTTAAATATCACTTTCGCGGGACTAGACAGACGAAATACCGAAAAATCGTTCGTTATAATGATTGAATCGAGCGGTGCTCGAACCGTTACCCCATCGAGCCTAATAAAATTACAAATATTTGATCGGGATTGGTCGGTGCTCGTGGCCGATTTAAAAATCCACGTTTAATAACGCGCTTCGGTGCTGCGCTTTGACATAATTCCGCTGTTACATCGATCTCCAACGGCCCGGTTTTCAATCGTTTTCCGCCGCTCGAGGACGCTCGAGCGTCCATGGCGCAGCAATTAGCGAAAAAATGCCGTGTAATAATTCCGCGCGGCGAGCGCACAGCTCGATGAAAAAGAGAGCAGAGTTTCTGTTCGCTCGAACGTTGAAATCCTTAGCGAGCGTGGATTTTAATCTCGAATTCGCCCCGGCGAGCGGCGAGCGAGTTCTCCAAAAAAGAACTTCGGCCAGAGCAGGCTGGCAGATCCCCCCTCCCCCTCCCCCCAAAAAAGGAGAACGAAAAATTGAAAAAAAAAAGAAAAAAAGAAAAGAAAGGAATATCGCGCGGATTTATGGAAATCGGACCATGCACGTACGCGTTTTCGTGGGTGTGCGGTACACGTTTACGGAACACCAGGGCGATTTTAATATCCGCGAATGATAAACAAAGTGGTATCTAACGAAGTGGATAAAGGCGCGCTGTAATAAAATTTGTGTTGCCGCTTCGTCGCGGCCGGCCGCGGGGAACGTCACGAGCGGTTTCCTCCGATTTCAATTAGCCCTGGCGACCCTAGCCCTGGTCTCTCTCTCTCTCTCTCTCTCTCTCTCTTTCTTTCTCTGTCTGTCTGTCTGTCTGTCTGTATAAGCGTGTCCGTGTGCATGCAGATCTCGTTTTCAGGAGAGAAACGAGCTGACCGGCCAAACCAGTGGACGATCTTTTTTTTCTCTTTTTCGGTATTCGTTTGTTCTTTGATTCGACAATGGTAACTGATGCCGCGTAAACTTCGACGAGATTTCGACGTGGTAAGAAATTTACTGATACTGCGAATATGTGATTTGGATTTTTATTTGAACACCTGAATTGAACTCGGATATTCAGGTGTTTCTTTTAAAATTTTCTCTCGAAGATTGGGCTTGAAACGATAGAGAATC